AAAAACTTCTAAGTAAAAACCTTATTCATTCATATTATAAATAACAAGATAAATTTCTGTTATTAGAAATAAAGTCACTATACTACTAAATATATTGATTCTTTATATTTAGATCTCTGATGTTGTATTTTAAATATAATCTAAAAATTACACATCTTTACTTAAATCATATATTAAGAAAAATTAAGAATTTTCTTATTTCAAAACCAAAAAATTGCTATCTAAATAATGAATTTTCATTTAAAGATCATTATTATTTCCAAGATTTCTAATTTGCTTAAGTAATTGAAACTATGAAATTGACTTATTCAAAATTTCGATTTAGAATTTGATCGCAAAAGATAACTAATTAAAGAGAAAAAAAATATCAACAAAAATTTTATCTTATATCATTTTACATTAAACAAATTTGAGCTCCTTAAAATTTTATAATTTATCTGTAAATATGAAGTATTTAGAAAATAGTATATTTAATTCTTAAGTGATTATCGAGCTGAATATTGTTTTTTATTCTTTTAAACTCTTTGTATAAATTTTTAATTCAATATTAAAATCATATTCAACTTTAAGTCCTTCTAAGGATACATAAAGATCAGTTGAATTCTCAATATAAAATAAATCTAATAAATTATCAGGACTCTAAAGTCTAATAAATTTTAAATTTTAAATCAAATAAAAGCTATAATTATAATAATTATTAATTAGTATTAAATTTCCTTTTTTAATAATTTTTTAATTAATTTGAGCAATTTAAACATTAGTGATTAAATTAGAAATTTCAAAAAATGTTTCATTAAGATATCTAAATAATGATAATTGTATATATCCATTGAAATCTGTAATCAATAACAAATTAGAATCTCTGATCCAGAATGAATTTAAAATTAAAGTTGAAGAAAATTTATGCAATTATTTTAAAATGATTTAGTCTTATAAAATCAAGGCAGTAAAATATATAGTTCTTGAAGTTTTTTCACTGACAGCAGAAAATTGTTGAAAACAAAAAAGGGAGTTGAGATTGATACAATCTGAAATTCTAAAATTGAATTATAAAGGTCCTTTTAAAATTGTTTAAAGATTTTTTATGATAACATGACTAATTGGACCAAAAAAATAGTTTAAAAGTTTCACTTAAAAATTTTAGCCTTAAAACAATTTGATTTCAATTTTTAATTCCATCTTGACTAAAAAGTATAGCAAGCATTTTGAATTAAAAGTGAAAAACTTTAAGACGATATCTGATTCTCTTCTTTTTTAAGTAGTGTTAATTCAAAATCATAAGATGAAAAAAGTTCATCCTACATTTCTTAATTCTATACATCTATCACAAGATTCAGCAGGTATTTTTATCTTAGTTCTTGATTAGCATCATAATATAAAAGATTATTATAGTTGAATATGAAATTAGTATTAGTAGTTTAGATAATATCATTTAATATTAAGCTATTTTCATTAAGATAGAATATAGCCAAATATTAAAAGTTGTTTTTTTCTATCAGAATAACAAAGTAAAAAGTAGAAATAATGTATTTAAGAGGGTATGAGATAGTATAATTTGAAAAAGTGTAATTTTATATTTCAAGTATTTGAAATTCATCAAAATAATACGTTATAATTGTATTTGTTTGGTTTTTTCAGTCCAAATTTAATTTTTAACTATACAGCAAATATTTAAAATTATCTGATTATGGAGTAGAAAATAAATATAATTATACTATCCAAGAAGTTATTGAAAATATATGAACTTCTTGCAATTAAAAACACTTGACATATTCCTTATGTTCAAAAGCTAAAATATTGGAATACTAAATAAAAATGTAATCTCCTATTTTTTTGTAATAGAGAATCTCTTCATTTTAATATAGATTATTGGAAAGCTATTGTCAAATGAATTGTAAAGAATTTAAAAAGATATAAAATCTATGAAGGTAATTTTTAGTTTTAAACATTTATGATTAAGTGGGATTAGATTTATTTTATACTTTATATTTTCTAATCAAAAAATATTTATTAAGCTGAAATGCTTCCATGTAAAATTGATATTTCTTTGATAGTATTATTATCTTTAAAATAGAGGTAAAATTTTCCACCATATTCAAATACTGTTATTCTTATCATAATTTTATTATTTAAACAATCAAAAATAAAAAGGAAACTTTTAGTAATTAAGGAAAGATAATTATTCATTATTATTTAATTCAAAAATATTTCACTAACTACTATTATTTGTAAATCTTCATGAAGTAAATTTGATAAATTATTGATAGAAGAATCTATTATATGCATTTCAGCTATTCAAATTAAAATTTCAGAGTCTCCATATTTAAATTATTCATCTTTATCTTCAAGTGGCTGGGTTTTTATAAGAATGAAGAACCATTACAAAATTAAGAAGAGATTCTACGATATTGAAATTATAAGGTAATGGATTTTTTCTAATTTAATTCATTTATAAATCATATTTATCTAAATTAATTTTCAAATAAATTACAAAGGTGATTTTGGTTTAAAATTAATTAAATAAATATAACTATTATTACAATAGCTATTAAACAAAAGGGAAAACTAATGAAATTATTTAATTAGAATCTTTCAGCTATAGGAACAATGCAAGACTATAATTAAATGCTACAGCTATAAAGGTTCTAATCACACCACCTGATGTAAATATTTTATTTTTGTAATTATATTGATATACCATGTTCTCTAAATTTAGATCTACATCAAGAGTATTTACATATTAACAAATAAATGTCTCTAAATGCAATTAATTTTTAATGAAATAAAATTGAGCAAATCCAAATATAGTAAAATAATTGTTTAAATTATAAGGAATAATACATTAAAGAATTGTAGATAAGAAACTAATTCAAACCATCCAAAAAATTCCAGAAGATATTCAATCCACAAAATTAGAATTACAATATTTCAAATGGTAAATAAAGTATATATTCACTTAATTTCATCAATCATCTGTAGTCTCTTCAGTTGAAATGGAAGGCCATTAATCCTCTTTTAACTTAATTATATAGTTCTTTTTTAAATGTATTACCATCCTAATTCAATATAGCATTTTAATACACAAATTAAGCAGAATATTTAAGTAATAATGTCAATTCTAAATAAATAAATGGATTTATCAGATTATTAAATTCAATCTACATAAGTAAGATCATAGTGATCACAAATATTTATTTTGAATTTAAAAATAGAATTAATATTTCCACTAATAGAAACTAATGAATCTATTTTAATTCTCACAACTCTTTCTTTATCTGATTTATTGATTTCAAATATAATCATAGGAAATGTAGCTTTAATAACCAGATTCAATCTTACACAAATTAAATTACTATGATCTATGATCCTATTCTTCCTAAGCAAATTTAATTGAATCTTCAAAAATAACGATAAATTTAGGATCACCTGTTTTACAATTTTCATTATAAATTAGCATCAAAATTAATCTTCTTTGTAGATTAATCAATCATCAATAAAAGTCTTACAACTTGAATTGCATGGTAAAGAAATGAATTCTTGAATCAAATAAACTCCATCAATACAATCTGTTCATGATCCTGCTAAATCCAGATGTAATCTTCTATTCTAACTAGAATAACATGAATAAAATTAAAAGTACAATTTTAACATAAATCACTACATTTAGTAAATACTAAATCATTGTCTTCATAAAAATATCCATTCTAACGACAATATGATTCTGTATCTATAGAAAATTCTAATATTTATAATTCAACTTTAATAATTATGTAAATTTAATTAGCTACAAATGAGTATCACTCTTCTACAAAATTTATAAAATTAAATAAATTGATCACTAATGATCACTAATTTTCTACTCTTTATATCAAGAAATTTCTCATCTTGAATAACTTTATAAATTAGCTCTCTAACTATGAAAATCAATTCACAATTAATGATTAATTAATAAATTTTTAAATGGATATAATTATAATTGAAGAACTTATGATAGATGGGATATGGCCCCATAGAAATTTATATTACGAATTTTTAAACTTTAAAATTAATAAATAGTAAAATAAATTAAGGAGAAAAGTCTTAATTTAAAGGACTACATTAATATCCTGATTGCTATTGGTAAAAAGTAAAACATAACTACTATTTAACTTCAATTTTCTTAACTTCAATATTTGATTTATAAATTGATGGATTAATAATATATAAATCTTAATCTTAAAACTATCCACTGTTATATGTTAAGTCTCAAGATAAAGCGAAGCAAATATAACAGGAAAAAATCCTATAATCAAATATGTTGTTAATTACTTAGTTACAATAATAAACATCTATTATTTTTATTGAGTCATCTTAACCTACTTAAATAAAGCTGTCAAATAATTAATTTTATGAGAATATTCTTCTTGAATATTTATAGGATAGCCTTTAACCATCAGCTTTCCTCTTAAATATTGACTGCTATTTGGGAACAATTGAAATAAGTAATTCTAAGTTTTCAAAAACTCAATTATTAATAGTACACATGATATAATTTATATCAAAAGTTATAAACTAATTATGGCCTAAAATATTTTTCAACAAAATAGTCTTTATGATTATGAAGTTATTAAACCTTATATATTATGGGGAAAATTTGAATCAGAGTTTGCATATATTGAAGATTTTGAATAAATCTTTAACAGGATATGGCTAATTTTTGCTTTGAGAGAAATATATTTCTCGGTGTTAGTTTCAATAATCAATAGGATTTCTTGGAGCATTCTAAATTATAGGTTAAAAGAATATAATAGTTAATATATTTAATTCTTCTTTTTATAATAATTGAAAATATATTTACTTTATAATTTATAGTTTTCTTATATATAGACAATGAATGCTCACAAATAAAATTAAACATTATAGAAATATAAGTTAGAAATGTTTACGCTAAAAATAGTTCTAAAGTTGATTAGAAGAATCTTCAGAATATTAATATATTTTTATAGAATAATAAGTTATTTCAAATTGGAGATATCTAATAGAATTTAAATTAGGATCAAATGTTACAATTATCTAATCTTAATTGTAATAATGACTTTTTGAATTAAAACTAATTTCTGTAAGACTTGTAGAATTTGATTAAAGTTCCTATTTTTCCTCCTTTATTATTTGTCTTCTTTGTATATTGCACTTAACATCATCCAATTCTTTAACTGAAAAGTTTTCCCTATTTAATGCAATTATTCTAAAATTAAAGTTATAAGGTATAAATGTTTTTGTTATTCATCAAAAATTTTAATAAGCACTTATTGTTTGTCCACTTGGAATAATATTATAATTGCCATAATCTCTCCCTACTCAACCAATTTTTGATTAATTAACTGCAAATAAAGAATTAAATATTAAAAATCTATATTTTATTTGTACTCTAAAAGTATTTTGTATGTAATTTAATATATTTTATTTAATAAATTGAAGTCTTTCTATCATCAAAATAAATACTTCTTCCTGATTTATTGGCAGAATTATTTGTAAATTAATAATTATTTATTAAGCAGCTTTGAATTGCAAGCATTAATGTTCAAATTATGGTGATTCTGCACCTAATTCTTCAAAACATTAACTTCTGGAAATAATGGACTTTGTATTTGATCTGCCTCAAGCTCAACCAGTTTTTAATTAACCTCTTCAAATTAATGTGATATTTGAGAATCGTTACTTTATTCTTGACAGGAACAACTGATACTTTTAGTTCTAGTTATAATTAAGCTTTTATAGTAAATTCAAGTATTAGGGATTGTTTAGAATTGAAGTCAACTTGATCATAGCATGAAATAAGATGGAACACGATTTCGAGAAGCAAAGGTTTATATGCAAATTAACGTCTGAGTCAACTTCTACTTTTTCTGCTTCATCCCCTACTTTTCATATTTGCATTTATCTTAATTCTAATTGTGTATTCTATCTGATTGTGCAGCCATAACATAGTTATCAAGATGGATTATAGCTAGCTTTGCTAGCTATAATCCTACATATGAAATAAAACTGGTAATATATGTTAAGAAAAGAAGGGATTTTGTTCCAAATAAAAAATTAGAATCGGTGTTTTGTGTTTAATTTAATGATTGTGTTAATAAACCATTACTGATCATACTAGTATTATGTATTCCTTAAGTTTAAATGATCAATAAAATAAAGTGATTTCTTGTTCAGAAGATAAATAAATATTAGTAATATAATAGTCATGGTTGGATAAATAGTGGAGTGTTATATAAAAGTTAAAAGTAGATTAGTATGGATTAAGATTATGTTTATAAATGATAACTAATTTACATTCTAACCCAGATGTAAAGAATAAATGCAAATGTATGAGATGGATAGTAATACTAAATAGTATAGGAAGACTAAGGAAATTGCTGTTAAATGTGGATCAAATGGTTGTAGTATAGTTCCATAATAATACTTAAAGTCAAAATGCCTTTTGGTGAATAAGAATGGCAACTATGTTAATTTAATGAGGAACTAAGAAAATGATGATTTTATTATTGAATAATCCATTGAATTTGGACATTAATCTATTTATGGATAATTAAGTTAAGATGGAGAATATTTAATCACTTGGGATTGCGGTTCTAAAGAAATTCAATAAGAAAGTGTAAGGAGAAATGAAAAAAAGAATGAAATATTATTAAATTAAGAATCAAATCAAGATAGGAAGATGGGATATAATAAGTTTAAAATATCTAAACAAGTTAAGGTAATCATTTTAAGTCATATATTATGGTTAGAATGGAAATGAGATTTATAGGAATCAAGAGTATAAAGCAGTTTTTAATTTTTAGTGAGTTCATTCTACACGTAGGAACATTCAATCAAAATAAAAAGTTGGTAGATGGGATACTTTTTGCAAAATTGAAGATGAATAAGGATATAATAAAATGTAAAAAAATATAAATATAATATGTAGTGGGGGAGGATCATATAATTAAGAAGGGAATTAGACCAAGATAGGATAATGGATATATTTAGATTGATCATTTTCTTTAAACTACTAAATCACCTACAGTGGCGAATATAATATGAATGGCAAAAGGGTAGGTAGTTGGTATATTAAGTTGGAAGGAGAATAATTGTAAATATTATAAATTTAAGTGGATATCTAAAGTGGTGGTGGCTATATCACTAACAAGGAAATTAAATTAAGATAGGGAAATGGGTAAAATTGGATGAAAAAAATTATTTTTAATTTTATAAAGGCGAATATAATATTAATGGTAGGAAGATGGGATATTATGTATTTGGAATATAATGAGAAGTAATATAAATAAATGTAATATTTTATAAATCTAAAGGGAAATTTCATTTAATTAGCGGTGGGGGATTGTATGATTAAGAAGAAAATTAAAAAAAGATTGGTAAGTGGGTGGTTTTAGATGAAGAGTATATAAATTGGAAGTCAGTATCTTGTGCTGGTGAATATAATATGGATGGGATGAAGATTGGTAGATGGGATAGTTTGATTAATTCAAAATAAATGTAAAAATTATATATGTAAGGAAAACTTTTTAAGTGGTGGTGGACAATATGATTAAGGGGAATAATAAAAGAAGATGGGGCAGAGGGTAGAACTAGATGAAGGGTTTTCGGACCAAAATAAATTACATATAATGGTGAATATAATATGGATGGTTGGAAGGTAGGTAAATGGGTTATAATGTATTCGAAATACAATTAAAAGGAGTATTAATAAATATAAAAATGATATGTGGAAAGAGAATTTATAAATGGTGGC